TTTTGTACTAGTACATGTTACTAGATATCTCTCATACACTATTATTTCTTTGTAGTTCTAATATTAAAACATTTCATTCAATGTAGCTGAGGATGTCATATTTGAATGTTCTCTATGCACCACAGGACAATTTACATTAATTAGAACTTTTTCATAAAAATTCCTTTAGTGGAACAATAGTAGCATTGTCTTCACTTTGTCAGTGTAAGGAATTACCCTTTACCACCCATTGATTTTCCTGCCAGACCTTGAAAATTTGAATCTGTGTAACTTGAAAGTCTGGTGGTATTTTGGTAAACAGTGTGATCAAGAGAAGACCATTAGAGAAATTGGCCTTTTTTTTCTCTAAAAACAGTTTCTGTGACAGTTTCTGTACAAAATAATAAGTGAAGTTATTATGTGTATGAGTAGTAACAAAACTTCAAAGGTTAGACAGTAATTAAGCATTTAATTTTTTGTGCTTGGGTTAGTAAATTTTAAGGTATTTTAAGAAAGGTAAGATCAAATGGCCCCAGTGATAAGTGAGACATTACTTAATATTTTCTATAGCTGCATTGATGTTCATTATTTTGGTAGTACACCCCATGTTTTTACACTGAGACCAATCCCATAGATATATATAAAAGGGACAAAGCCTCAAGCCATTTAGAGCTAGCTGTCATGCCATGCTTATAAATACATGTTACCTTGGGATCTAATTATAGTTTAACAGAGAGGTATGAGAACCTGTAGTAGAATCCCGAAATTTTGTGGTTATAAAAGAAATTGTAGTCTTTAATGGTAATTTAAATTGGTTTACATGAATAAATAGATAGCATTTTCGTAATTGATTGGTCAATTTTTTGCTGTAGAAAATATCCATTTATAATTATTTATCTATGTATTTGCTTTGCAGAGAATATTTTACAATTATAGACCTTGGCTGAAGGTGGTATGCTGTTTTGCAGGCATTAATAAAGTGATATCAGTTAATGCGTATTCAAAATATCTCAAAGAAATAAGCCCTTCATTAATCATATAATGGAATATGTACTGAATTTTCAAGTATTATAAACTTAATTGGGTGACAGGTTTGAATGGGCTCATGGGATTTATGGAGCATAGATGAAAATGGACCATTTGGTTTTGCGGTTGCCTAAACATAAACTGAAACAGTTTTGATTTTTGAATAGCAATTAAATTAACCTTTAATGATTGTCACTACATGGCTATAACATAATGGCTATAAATTAGTCTTGACTGAGTTAGTCTGCCATATTAGCCACTGTTCCTACCCCCACAGCCAGTAAGCCAGTTTTTGTTTGGACAAGTAGTTTTATCAGAATTTAGTGGTCTAACATGGCAATTTGATTATTTTAAGGGCTTTTGATTAGATTTAATTTTTTTCTGAAATGTAACATTCTAATATTAATACTATACAATATTAGGGTAAAACATCTAGTGTGCCTTACTGATATTTTTATTCGGACCAGTGAATAGTGATTTGGAGAGTAAATTTTAGAAAATTGGTGGTCTGAATTGCCAATAAGCTGCCCCCCCCCCCCCAAACCCACACTGAAAATCAAATTAGCAGCAATAGGACTAATTATCTGGTTTGTCAGTCAAGAATGTGAGAATCTAATTGATAGCTCATCAAGCAGGTAAACATTAAGTTACCTATTTGTATTTAATGGTTCATGGAAGTAGCAACATAAAAGGAATGTTGTCATAGATACATGTAAATATGCCTTTAAAAATATTTTGTGTACTTCATATTTATTTCTTTTTATACCCATCATGAAAAGAATGATCCAATTATGGTTGACTTAAACTGGCACATTGCATGTCAGATTTGAATGAATTAATAAGACTTCAGATAAAAAATACAGACAGATGCATGATATTAGGTGGGAGAAATGCACCAAGTACTAGTAACTTAATTTTTCAAAAATTACAGAAATTGCTCACATGTGTGAATCTCCTCACTTTTTCCAGTATTTAATGTTTTCAAGATTTCAAGTTTTTGAAGTTCTCGGTGTAAAGCCTTTCGATTCCTGGAATGGTTTCACAAAAGAGTATTAATCTGGAAATCAGTCTAAACTTCAGGTCAAGGTTATTCATAGTAGCCTGCTTAAAGCCTAAAAGATAAGCGATGTCTTTATTGTTATAAAACTGATGCAGTATTGCATAGACTATAACTTATATGTATTTTGAGTCAGTTTAAAAAAGTAGACCAATTTATAAGGTAAAGTTCTCTTGTGAAGCATGCCTTAAATTATTTGAACATTTTTTCCTTTTTTCTGAGGTTATCATGTTGTTATTTATATGTAATTGGACATAGGTAAAAGGTTATATAATTATTATCTTATGTATTATTAATGTAACACATTATGCAGGTTATTATCAAATTATGGATGTATTTATCAATTTATGTCATTATATTCATTTTAACTTTAAGATTTAACATTTGCTCTTTCCATTTAAATCATCCCAGTTGAATTTCATTGAGCAACCGCCAGTAATGTATAAATAATGTATAAAAGTGTATCCATTAGTGATAATGGAAAGAGCAGATTTGTATATACCAGCATAAACAGCGATTTTTTTTTCTGCACAGAATTATAGTCAGTACATCAGCATTTCAAAGTTGATCTGTATGGGTAATATAGATAGGTGCTCAGGAAGTAAAGATTCAACATAGTCATAATAAATGGAATATTGTATATGGTCAACACATAGTCATTAATAGCATTTCAATCAATTTTGATTCGTAAGTATTAAGTGAAATATTTAATTTTGGTTGAAATTAGGTTTTATTAAAATAATGGTACACTATGGCTGAGTTTAGCATGTTGAGCAAATGAAAATTTGCCCATATTTTAAATTTGTAATTAATTGCTGCACTTTTGTTTGGATTAAGCTCTTTGAAGCTATTCTAAGAGTTATAAAGATTTAAGCTTTGGATAACTATTAATTGATCTAGTAAAATGGATTAACAGATTTCTTAGCAACAATAATATTGGATTATTTCAAAATATCATAGAACATAGATTATAGTTTGATATGGGATAGGATTAGTCATTTTATTGTGACATGAGAATATGTAAATGAATAAAATATAATGTGACTTCAGTCCTATCAGTGGCATAGCATTTGGAAGATCTGCATCAGATGGGCACAGCAAAAACGGTATGTTCTGGTGGTTTTGGGCATTCATTTTGACACGAAAAAGTGATTTTGGATATTAAAAAGTTGCTGCAGGTATGAAGGTTCAATAAAATTGCTGTACAGTACAGTGTACATGTACCAGTGGTTATTTTGTCAGTAACGTAAAAAACAAACTGGTACTTTATCAACCAGTGTTTCATCTGCCCATCCAGTGAGGTTTCACCAGGGAATGTGGCTGTGAGCAGACCAAATAAGGGCTGGTAAAGCGTCGGTTTATTTCCTGAAATTATTGACAAATTGTACTGATTTTGGACTTTTTAGGTGTTCATGTTGTCCAGTACTAGAAATCTACCTAATATAAAAATAATAAGTAAATGCAGCTTGTTTGTCAAAAAAGGTCTTTCCATCTTGTAAATGAACAATTCAGTCTCCATTGCTGCACAAAGTTGAACCCTACTTCTAAGTTATGTTTTTTTCTTTTTAATTATCTTTTTATTATGTGGTGCCACATATGGGTAAATGCTTAGAACATGCTCCTCCCTCCCACCCACCCCCCACCATTGTTAGATTTTTTTTTCTCATAGATGTACATGCATTTCAGAGAATATATAGTACACAGAATCTATGCCCTGAACTTCAGATTGATGTAAATAATATACCAGCTTCATTCCTCCATATACGCATATTCTTATGTTGAAATTTTAATGTATAAGCTGTGGGCTGTGTTAGATCTGAAGCTCAGGCTAAGCATATTGATATACCGGTATAAAGTATTGAAACATGTAGTTCCAGATGTGATACTTGTAGATAACAGACATCATAAAAACTAGACATTATTTGTCTGTTAAATTGAATGAAAATTGGCCTTATGTTCGTTCTCTCCCAGCACTGCTGCAAGGCACAAGTTTTGTCTTGAAAGATGACTTTATTTCTCAGTTGGGGGCCTGAGGTAACAAATATATTATTTCTCTCCACTCTAGGCTGTAAATTGATAATGGATAGAAAGCCTGCCGAGCTCTAATTTTAAAGTTCCTGTTTATTGCAAAATGCTGACACTTGTTGTTATTGCTGTGAATTCATGTTTCATTTAAATACTTATTTTTGTACACCTGAAGACTATTAATAGTATGGGTTAAGTGGAATAATATCATAAAGCTTTTGTCACAACATGAACAACATAACAGTAATGGTATATATAGATGAATGGTTAAAAATATATGCCTGTGTAGAACTTGCTAATGATCAGTCAGTACCTGCAGGTCATGGACATAAGAATTTTAATTTTTTTTTCTTTTTTTTTTTTTTGTAATTTATAATTGATAAATCCCTGTTTGAAGGCAATAAGTATCAGTAATTTGATGGGGAAAAAGAAATCTTGGGTCCATTGAAAAAATCATCTGTTAAATAAGCTTATCATAATACCATGATCTACACCAACATAGTAGACTATGAATATTTGATAAAAAGAGGCTAGTGGACAGAGACCGTATATAGCTGTCTCACATTGCTTTCAAATAATGTGTCCCTGGCATGTATAGATATATTATATATGTGTATAGACCTTGCCCTAAAAAAGGTACTGAAAAGTGGGGGATCTCTGTATAGATAAAAAGCCTGCAGGCATTTTTTCTACATTGTTGTGCAGATTAACATAAGTTCTTGTGGTTGCTGGTTATTTGATTTTTAACATTCAGAAGACATAGGAGTCCCATATTTTCAGTTCCATGCAGGACTGGTTACGTACTTGTAAAACTGGTTACATATCATATTAACATGGACCTGACGGTATGTGCCATTGTCAGTGTAAAGAAACTTGCAAAATATTAAAGATGATTTTCTTCTGAATTAAGCAGCCATTTACAAGTGTATTTTGATTGTGCCTTGTGCCAAATACCCTTGTCGCATTCAATGACATTTCAGTTATATCAATAACTTTATATTATATTTGAATATTTGTCATTACTATTATCAAGCTGATATGTTCTGTATTTTCAGCTTGGTGGCCGTGTGAGCCTGAAATACCTTAGTCTGGTGGTAATGATTATTCAGACCACCGTCTTAGTACTGACATTGCGCTACTCAAGGACCAGTCAGCAGGAGGGGCCGCGCTATCTCTCATCCACAGCAGTTTTCAATGCTGAAGTGCTCAAGCTTGTGATTTGCCTCTTCCTTATGTTGTTAGAAAAAGGTACATGTACCTGGTACTTGAAGTTGCCCTTCAGCCAACATAAGTTTGTGTGTGCACATTGCCATATTTTTTTTAAATATGAATAAATTTTGGGGCACTATATTGTTCCCATTTCTTGACTTCTATTTTTTAACTACTGCTAGTTTATTACAGTACCTATGGGATCTCTAACCTAGGTGAGGTGGGTGAGAAACTTGTTAGTGATAAAGAACTTATAAGTTCTGAGGTCAGTTTCAAAGAGTAGCTTTAGACTTTCGAATGGTCTTTACTTTTTTTAGGTTTTATAATTTTAAAACAAGGTCACCCTCTCTGCTATTGTGTCATTTGAATTTCATACAACTACAGAGGTACAAGTATATCGAAGGGCTCAAAAATATTAATTTCAAAGTTTAATAATTTATATTTACAGTTTGAAGATGTTGCAATTAAATTTGGGTTATTGTAGGAAAATTCTGTATTATATAAATGCCAAAAATTTCATGACTCTACTCTTCATAGTTTTGGCACACTGTAAAAAAAAAGGTCTCAAATCAAAAAATGTCATACCTGCCTATGTGACTTATTGCACATGCCAACTGTCTGGAAGTTTTGATGCCTGTCAAGGTATTTCTGTTTTGATGAAAATACCAAAATTGTTACACTTCAACACTTGAAATTTTCAGGTTTGACAACATTAATGTATCAAAAATCTACACAAAATTTCAACCCCAAGGCTGGTGAACTGTTGAAGTTATTGAACTTGGAAATTATTAATAAAAATAATCAAAAGTGATTTTTAGCCACCCGATGTACCAGTATATCATATGTACTCTTGTTCACTGTTTTCAGGTGGTTCGCCCACTGGTCTCATTTCAAGTCTCAATGAAGATATTCTTCAGAAGCCAGTGGACACCCTGAAGTTGCTTGTTCCAGCAGGCCTCTACACAATACAGAACAACCTGCTGTTTGTTGCCTTGTCAAATTTAGATGCAGCTACATATCAAGTGAGTTTGAAAAAATACAATTATTAGTATGCTATGTAGACTCTAACCAGTCATTTAAAAAAAAAAACATTGGGGAATTACTGCCGTCAGTTGATATTATTATTATATTATTATTATTACCATGCAGTATATCTACCTGCAACATTCAATAACTAAGACTGTAAGAACACTGTAGACTCACCTCTCCTTACATGGGTGCTGAAATTAGAATTAATTGGCTGTACCTTTTTTTCCCGTAGTTCTGAGCACAGGAATTGAAAATGTCACCCTCATTGGTTGATATGTTCTACTTCATTGTGATATTCTTTTCAATGTAGGTAACTTACCAATTGAAGATCTTAACCACTGCCATCTTCTCTGTGATACTGCTAAGAAAAAAGCTGAACCTTACCAAATGGCTGTCTCTGGTTGTTCTCATGGTTGGTGTGGCTTTGGTACAGGTAGGTTAGTTAGGTTCAACACTGGTACAAGTGGGTAATCTCAATTGGTACAGGTAGATCATCAACACCATTACAGCTACATCATCAACACTGGTACATGTAGATCAACAGTGGTACAGGTAGAACATCAACACTGGTACTTGTAGATTGTCAGCATTGATACAGGAAGCTTATCGGAAGTGATACAGACAGGCTATCCACATTGGACAAACTTAGGGCTACCTTTCACAACTAGACTCTAACCAGTCATGTCAAGTCAAGTTTGGTTGACAGATGATATTTTAACAGGACATGTGTTTATCTGTTGACAGTTGACTTACCTTAGTTACATTGCTGTTGGGGTGAAATAACAGTGTATTAGAGTGAGCCAATCATGATCATAATGGCTCTCTTAGATGGGTTGTACAGAGACAGGTCCACCTAACCTGACTGGAAACACACCTCAAGGGTTTCATTTAAGTTAATAAATCAATGCACCAGTTGAATTATGCTGTGGAATCCCCCCCCCCCCCACCAACCCTTGAGATCATCAGTTCATGGTATGGTTTGTTTTTTTTATTGACTATCTTCTTTTTCAGCATTAAATATCATGCTTAGATATAATGATAGAGCATTTTGTCAGTTATCACAAAGCATGGCAATGACTCTTTCTTTTAATTGGGCAAAAATAATCATACTTTCAGATATATAATTTTAAAAATGTTAAAATGATATTTCTTTGTAACATTTTCAATGCGTTTATTGTATAGAACTGTAGGGTAGCCTGCAATTTTGATGCCACCACTCAGTAGGAATGTCTCGGGTAGCGCTAACACTCGCCAATTTAGCCAAATGCTAAAACTGACTTAAATTGGCTAAAGAAAAAGGGCTTGATTTGACATGTTTTAGCCAAATTATAACCATTTTGATAACAAATTGACAAAAATGTGGTGATATGGCTAAGCGCAAAAAATTGCTACCCCAGAATGTTCTAATTTTATAAAGCTATGTTTTTATCTCAACATCTGCAAAATGCACAATTTTTCCTAACCAAAATATTGAGTTATTACTGTATGTTTCATTTCAAAATGTTTATTTTGATTTATTGGTAATTTTTATGGCTGCAGAACCAAATTTACTGGCAGAAGAAAACGTATCTCTTTTGTATATTATATACGTTTAATAGCTTGATCTAGATGCACATAAGTGGCTTATAGTGACTAGCCTATTAACAAATACAAAGAAGAAAATATGACCTTAAGAAGCTTTAGAATAAATAACCATAACAATAATCTTTAACCAGACACTTTAATTTCTATACACGATAATAACTTCTGAAATACTGCTAATTTATATGCTTGTCATGTACCGAATTAATTCTCCAGCTTCCTGACAGTAATTCCACAGATGTGAAGAAAAGCCCCAACTTTTCCTCTCAGGTGATTGGGTTAGTAGCCGTAATATGTGCTTGCTTCAGCAGTGGGTTCGCTGGAGTCTACTTTGAAAAAATCCTGAAAGGTACTAATCCAAGCATATGGCTGCGAAATGTCCAATTAGGTAAGCGATAATCTTTTCATAGAAATTCCTATATGAACCAGTGTTACCAGGTTAGCTAAGAACAGTGTTGGTTTCATTGCCCATTATTCTTTGACATGACTGGAAAAATGTGACAGCCAGTGTTCTTGATCTATGTTAACAGGCAGTTTTTTAAATTTTTTAAAAATTAATAATGTTATTGTAAGTTATAGTTTGAAGCACAGTGTTAAATTATGGATCATTATAATTATGGTCAATGGTGAACAGGGGAATTAATAATAAATAAAGAAATACAATAATTAAAGAAACAAAGAACTGATCGTAAGATGAATAAATGGTAAAACATTTAGCCTTGTGGTGTGTAAGTTTATTTATGAACATTCCTTTTGAAAAAGTAAAATTTTTCACAGTTTTGTGGGCGAAATGTGCCTTATTTTATGTCCAGTATCAGGCCATTATCTCACAGATGTGAAGAAAAATTGCAAGTGTTATTTTTTTTTAATATTCTTAAATTCTAGCCATGTTTAGCAGTGTAATTGCACTGGCAGGTGTGTACATGAATGACAACACTGCAGTGATCACAGCAGGGTTTTTCCAAGGTTATACACTGGTTGTGTGGATCACAGTTGCACTTCAGGTGAGCTGGTTTACTTTCTACATGTATAGCTGACAGCTGTGTCCCAATTTATACCTGGTTGTGTGTATGTTTGTTGTTGAGAGAGGGGTGGGGGTCTAGATAATTTGAGATACTGATGGCAAGGTTAACCATAAACAATATGGCAAAAAAAAAAAAACCAATGAATGAACAGTTTTTGTTTATTGTCAAAAGCTTGGAAATTACTGATATTTTGAGCCATTGGAAAGTTATTGGCTGAGCAGTAATGTCTGTGGTGCAGTGATTCACAAATAGTATTGTTCATCCTTTTGTCTTTTACTCTAGCTGTTTCTACCCTAACTGTCAGTTCTGTTGCATGCCAGTTTCTTCATTTACAAAATGTCAATACCTGCAAGGATTGACAAATTTTTACATGAATTTGAAAACGGAGAAGCTATCCAGCATCAGATCTGAAAAACACTTTAGGCTGCCACATTCACAACTAGTTGATCTGCCGATCTTTTAGTTAGCAGATAGACTTTGTTTGTGAATGTGGCCATTGGTCATATGTGAAAATAGCTTTCCTGTGTTATACTCAGAAAAACACCAGGCCATTTTACACTTTTTTAGACCTGATTTAAAAAAGGGTAATTATTGCAATAAATAAGTTATTGTAAATACCTTGATTAGAGCAACCCCACGTAGTGCTAATGGTGTTGTTATTTCCTTACAGGCTGTGGGAGGTCTTATTATTGCCATGGTGATAAAGTATGCAGACAATATTGTGAAAGGGTTTGCCGTATCTCTGTCCATTATTTTATCAACATTTTTATCATTTTCTTTTCTGGGAGATTTTACCCCAACACAGTAAGTATAATCCAAAGTTTTATTTTATGCATGAGGCACACATAACAAAAATAGTGACACTTACATAGTATGGTAATGATTCAATCTTTTCAATGGGGAAAAATAATCAATTTTTCAGATATGTAATTTAAGAATCATTAAAAATATATTCCTGTGTGGCATTTAGGGTAGCCTCTTTTTCAGTTTCGTTGGCATCACTCAATAGAAATGTTCTAATTTTATTACTCTATGACTTTAAAAAATAGAGCTGTATTTGTAAAATATAAAATTTTCCCCATTGAAAAGATTGAATCATTACTGTATGTTTCTGTTCTCCTTAAAACGATTCTCAGTTTATTAATTTATGCATAGTGCTGGTAGAGCATTTTGCTGATGATACATGTACAGTATGTAGCAATAAAAGAAACTTTGATGAGAGTTGACGAATTACCTTCAAGTAAACTCATATGCCATGGTGTTTCATCTTCTTTTAATGCCCCATAACATAAATATCCCAGTCATCTGTCAGTTGTCCATGTTGTCATACACTTTATGCTAACTTTACAGTTTTGTCAGAATGATCCCTTCAAGATTAAGCTAATTGTAGCTAACATATTTAAAGGTTTTTGATTCTTTTTTTTTTTTTTAGTTTTTTCTTTGTGGGAGCCACATTGGTGATCGTTGCCACTTTCTTGTATGGGTATGAACCATCTTCATCCAGACTCCCCACTGTCCCATTAAAAACATCACCAATTTGAAAGCCGAAGAAGAAGATATGGAAGGTTTTGCAGCATGTAGGGAGATACATGTAGCTCTTTTAGCTGATAAGATTGCTTGTGTCTTACTGTTTTAAACAGTTGCACCATCAGGAGACGTGAATCGTTCTAGGCAGCCAGCTTTGACAGAGCTTGCTGTTTTTGATTTATTGTTGATAAGAAAGTCTTTTTACTTGGGTTATTTAGGATTGAGTGTTCAATCAAATTCTCCCTTCCATCTGATAAGCTGAGCCAGAATCCATACTGACTTCCCCTTACATCTGTAAGTGAAACAGGTTTTTATTGGACAAGTTATGCAGGGGCGTAACCAGACCTTTTAAAATAGTACGCACAGATTTTGAAAATTCCCAGGTACGATTATAAATTATATAAAAATACACTGAATTTATGGAGAATTATATCATGGTTGGCTCAAAAAATTGTACGCACAGTGCATCCGTGCGTATGCCTGGTTACGCCCCTGTTATGTGCAATCTGGATGCCTGCAATCAGCATTATGCATTATCTTGGGAAATGCTTTGGGTACTTATCATATCAGTGAATAAAGGTTTTATGAGGGTAGTAAATAATTACTATAATAATATTGATGTAACTCATGCATACAAATGATCTTTATGGGGGTCTGGAAAATATGAATTTAGAGCATTTGAGGGATTGTTCATATTCACTTTTGAAGACGATGCACATGTATTTATGTGTCCAGTTTTTATTTATTTAATTTTTTTTTATTGGTCAAATTTATAATTTTAATCTGCCTGGTACAATCAGTTTTGAATCTTCTTGTCCATGTTGTTAGATTTGAAAAACAATCTATGGCTGTATAATGACGTACATCAAAAAATCATGTAAAATATTAACCACTTGAGTTTGAATAACATAAACCTGAACATATGAAGAGAATAGCATAATTAATATAGTATTGGATGGAGAAAAAAATTTGACCTTTAATTTTTTGTCTCAAAAACTGTACAATACAGTCTGGGGAAATTACATAATCAGTTCTGCATTCCACAGACTTAATTATTTAGAACTTTTGGATGGGTATAATAGGTACTACAGGGAATTGTGAACCTGGATTTCATCAAGTGGAATAGAAGTTTGAGGCTTTTTTATTTTGAATTTTTGCTTTTCATCTCTATCGTTCCCAAAAATTGTTTAAACAGATTGATTCTTTTTTCAGTAAAAAGGGGAATAATGCCCTTTCATTTATTCACCAGTTTTACAACAATTGAGAATTTTTTCATTTGAGAAAACTGAGTCAGACATAATATTTCTCTTTCAAGTAAAGGAGGTATGGGTAAGAATTGAAGTTGTTAGGCTTGTGTTTAATCACCTTGATTTATATTGCATTTATTGTTTCTTCATATTATGAGTTGTGTATTTCTGACACATATTAGATGAGAAATATTAAATCTACAGCATATCAACCTGCTTGGCTGTGCCACAGGTAAAGATAGGGTAATTACAAAAGCATGTTGTGTTTTGTGCTAAAGCTTAGTACCCTAATAGAATATTATGTCAAAACTTGCTCACTGTGATAGTTGGTGTATTGCTACTCATTCACGGGTATTTAAGATCTAAGGCAATTCAAGTTCATGGCGAGATTGAAAAATGAAGGGAAATGAAGGGAAAAATCTAGTCCACTCTTGTAGTGTAAGCCTTATCAGTGAAGTAAGTCTGGTGCAATTCGTGACAAGTCTTTTCATTCTATTGTTAGTATGGCATTTGAATATCACACCATTGGCCCAAATTGTGTTGGATTTTATGGGATTTCATTAGGGGATGTCTGTTTTCACTTTAAAAGCATTCTGTTTTGTTTGTTTGATATGAATACATGTCCGTATTATATATAGTAGAATGTCCTTCTATGTTTTTATAAGTTTGTAATTTTTTCTTGTTAATTGTGTCATTTCTTCATCTGAGATTATTGATTGATGGATTTTAGTTCTCAGGTGCCATTTCTTTGGTATTTTTCTTTCCATTTAGAAAATTTAGAGGAAAATTACTTGAGAGGTTGATGACAATTTTGCACAACATGCTGAATGTTACAATGTGTATTTGTTGCTTTATTGGAGATAACAGAAGTGAGAAATAATTACAAATGGGAGGAAGTAATTCACTTCGACAGGCATACTCAGGATAATGTGAAGGGCCCCTTAAGTGTCAGTCTGTCATTTTAATGGTTCTCTTTCCTCCATAAATAAATAGTTTATATAAAACATGGCTGTTTGGGCCTCAGAGTGCAACTTTTGTACCTGTTGAGAGAATACCGATGAAAAAACAGTTGTGCTTGGAAAAAGGCAGCTGTCTCCTTCTCCCCCCCCCCCCCTCCCTTCACATATGCCTGTGAACATGCTAATTTAGTTTGGAATAATTTCATGACTATGAATGATGGCATCCTTTTATTTATGACATTAAGCACAGAAATTAGTATTTGTGTATTTTCTATGTGTTATTCATATTTCTTAAACAGAACTTATCTATTTAAGGGAACGTGTAAAACATAAAAAAATATTCTTGTCCCATTATCAAATTATAGTTTGTCAAACATTGCTGAAGCTGCTAAGCTGAATTGCTATCACAGAAAAAGAAACTAGTTTTCTAAATACTTTTTTCAACTTGTGTAGTTACAATTGCCTATCACCATTATATACGGGTGAATTCTTATTGAAGTTTTGTACTCATTTTCCTTGCAGACTACTGACAATCTGAAATGCATTCATCTTAATATTCTTCAATATTTATTAGTATTATTATTCATCTGTGATTTAACATGATATTCTTTACTTCCTGGGAATACAATATACCATGAAATTCTCCTTGTTGATTAGTGATGCCTAATGCTTTTTAATATTGTTTTTTGTAAAAGTGTTGTGATGTCTTTTGTAGAGCACTGCGTTACCTTGTGACATATCTGTGCACAAGGTATCTATTCTGATATTAAATATACTTCTATTTGTATTTTGAATTTTGTTTGTTATTCCCTGCATTTATTGAGCCTATCTGGCCCTGGATGGCGCTGCATCATTTGATTTCGAAGACCTTATTGAAGCTTTCCGCAAATTAAACAATGTATTTGTAACATAGCACCCTGCCAAATCTGAGAAGGGTCCAAAAGTATAAAAGAACGCCTTTTAAATAAATATATATATAAAGTCACACTTAAAAGCCCCAGTATCGACCCTTGTTTCCCTGTTGCGCCAATTATACCATGCATTTTATTTTCTATTTATTGGAGTTCTTTTTACATTTATTCATTATCCAATTCTTTAGAGGGAGAGACGCAAGGCGTACGTGATCGGTCCCCCATCTTTAACGCCACTGAAAATGTGAGGGCGGGAAAGCTGGAATCTATGGTCTGCAATGCAATGTGGTACCTGAATTTAAACTGCATGATTCATTGGTGTCTGACAGTAGCACGTGAGGATTTTAGGTGCGAGACTGACCGTATGACAGTTATGATAGTTCAATACTTACATCATGAATCAGTTGATTAGGATGGATAGCTATAAATATATAAAACTGAAATCTCGAACTCCGGGTTTGATATCAATCCACAGTCACTAAACGGGCATTGCGTTTTCAGTAACTATTTTCTGTTTGGAGGGACGGTACAGGTAAGTATTACCTTTCTCTCTAATATACTTCATTTTCATTCCCGTTACCATTATGTAATGTGTGCACTAAAAACTTGGAATATTCGATGAAAGTTGTGAATTAAACTTTGAATTATATGTAGTTAGATATATTTTGCCCTTATGAAAATTTCTTACTAAATGTTCATCAACAAGTCCTCGGACAAAGTTCAGTTTCGTTTGAACTTGATAATTCATGAGATAAATTTTCGATATTGTTTTGAGCAATAACTGTTTTATGAAATTATCCGTCCTTTAACTTTATGGAACCATTAGATTAATGAACAGTATGAGGTGGTGCCTTTCCCAATCTACCGTACATTAGAAAGGTACCATATCCGAAGCTAGTTTAATGCGAATTTTAATTTTAATAAATTTTAACACTTAAAAGTATTTACCTTGTATGGATTTCCTCAGTTACTTAAAAGACGAATCCCAAGATAATAGCAGGGACCCCCATCCCCTTAGCAGGGGTTTGTGCATGTATGCATCTCGTCCCTTTATTAGTCTCCCACTACAAATCTTGATAACAGCACTATGACAAAATAACATGCGCTTTTTTGCTTGAAACTGATAATTGTTTACCAAATTCTTGGTTAAAGCCTTTACTTTTTTATTATCAGAATGAGGATTTGGGTGTGGTTTGCTGTAGCAATTGCTTTGAGTACCGCGGCGTTCGCCAGCGGCAGTCGAGTTAGGAGAGGCATTCGTCAAGAACAAATCGTCGTTTTAAACACCAAGAATCTTACCAACCCTGTGGAAGTTTTGGGCAGAATGAAAGCTCTCGTGCTCAACGATTCTGCGGATCACAAAATTCGCCATACTTATCTTATTGGTGAGAAGAATTTTGTTGGTTTTTCCTTCGAAAACTCTGACGAATACGTAGTGTGGCAGTTACGCAACCGGCCCGAAGTCGAGTTTGTAGAACCAAACGCCTGGATGGTGCTTTGCACCCTGTGCGAGGCTGAGAACACAAAAAAGAAGAGCGGAGATTTGTGGGGCCTTTCCCGAATAAATATCCGCAAAAGGGGGTCAAACGACGTCACCTATAAATATGAAACAGACGCTGGCAAGGGCGTTTACGTTTACGTCGTCGATACTGGCATTGCTGTCGCAAACCCGGAGTTTGGTGGGAGAGCAGTATGGGGAGCCGATGTTTCTTACGAATCGCTTAACAGAAAAAAAGACCTTAATGGCCATGGTACCCGTTCTGCCAGCATCATTGGTTCCAAAACATTCGGAGTCGCCAAATCTGCCACTCTAGTAGCCGTCAAAGTAGGGGATGCTAATGACAACTTTAACTCTGTGAAAATAGACGACGTTTTAGCTGGGCTGGCGTGGGTTTCAGAACACCACAAAAACCGCTCTGTTGGCACCAACTCGACTGTCAAATCTGTCATCAATCTTGGCGCGACTCTTGCAAAACACTCCGCAGCGCTGGAAAGCGCTGTTAAAGCCATAGTGGACCTAAATATCCCTGTGGTAGTTCCCGCCGGGAACGAGTTTGCCGACGCAAGTCATCACTCTCCGTCGAGGAATAACACCATAAGAGTAGGGGCAACGGACAGAAAAGACAGGCTGTGGTACATGTCTCATTACGTCGGATCAAATTATGGCAGCGCCGTCGACATTCTTGCACCTGGAGAGCACATTTGGGGCATCGGTCTCAATGGTCCCGGTCTTAAAAACGGCACATCGAACAGTGCGGCTTTCGTAAGTGGTGTAATCGCGCGCTATCTCACGAATCTGACCCAAAAAATGCATCCCTCCGAAATAAAAGAGTGGCTGCTTTCTTATGCGACTAAAGGCATAATTGACATCAGAGACAAAGAAGGAACGGCAAATAGGTTACTTTATATGGACTGTAATGGACCAATCGTTACTACGGTGTCGCCGGGAAATTTAACGACAGCTTCAACAAAAACCGTCACTACCATGGCACCAACGGACACTACTTCATCCAGGGAAAACACAACATCAACGTCCAACAACAACGTTACAACAACGAGCAGTATTATTACCACAACTATAAGCGAAATTGTTACCTCAACAACTACGCGCGTTACCACAACGCCAAGCACTAAAATTCCCACGACATCGAGCAGAAACTTGACCACGACACCAAGCGGCAACGTGACCACGACGCCAAGCAGAAACGTGACCACGACGCCAAACGGCAATGTTACCACAACGCCAAATGGCAACCTTACCACAACGCCAAGCAACAACGTTACCACAACGATGCTCAGTAGCAGCACAACAAAGGTACCGCCGCCCACCACTCCGCCCAGCAAGTCCAGTAGGAGCGATAGCAATAGTGTAATCATATCTTTCCTTTGTTGTCTCGTTATACTGAATGTGAGATAATGAGCTAATTTAATTTTTTTTCACGTGAACTGTAAATTGCGATTTGGATGCTTATGATCTCTAAATATATCGTCATATCTGTTCTAATCAATAATGACTGATTGATACCAACCACGACCGTTGAACCCAGATAGTGTGGTGTGGTTAATGTCACATACTTTCATGTCCCACTTGTATCTATCTATACTATGCAAACATTTTTTATTTGAAATGCCATGTTAAAAATATGTAAATGTTTTGAGTACATTTTGAAACGGGAAATAATGTAGTGACTATCTTTAATTGTGCAAAGAGCAAATCTGTTCACAATTTTTCCATGGCGTGATTAATTAACGAAAAAAAGTTAATTGACCTATTGTGATTTTTTCCTAAATAGAAAGGTATTATGCAATGAGTTGCATATCGTTGGAAGGCTCTTTTTTTAGAATTTTTCGTCCCTGTCTGTATAAGGAAGTACGTATTGGGCGTTTAACGGGATTTAGGGTTCAGGTGTTTTCTGGTTTGTATTTGACTTATCACAGAGAGACATTAACATGTAACTAAATCATACCAAGTAATACACAGAAGTCATATGTTTAAATAATAGTAAGTGATAAGATTATTATTTCAAAATAAGAAATTTATTGGGAGGAAAGGAGGATCTGAGTTGGCCGCGCATACCCAGTTACTAGTAGATGTGAATCGCGTACGCACAAGTGCTAGAAGAGCCATGTTATGCAATCGCGGGAACAGCTAATTAAACAGCTGTGCCCATGTGACCCTTAAGGTCTTCTACGGTCCACTAATCTTTCGCGATAGCGCCCACGTGAACACATGAACACAGTACTGACCAGTGTCCAGTTGAGCTACGGCCAGCGAGACGACATTTGAGAATCAGTCAAGTGAAAGAGAAGTTGGTCGGTAAGCCTACGAAAACGCCTCCCACCACTCAACCCCTTGACATCAGAGCCGAGAATGGGTACATGTAAGTACCATTTATAATACAAACAAATAATAATTAAATATTAATAGTAGGGATGTTTCACATACAAACCACCTTATGCCATCATTACTATCAGTTTACCATAAAGGAATGCACAGATATATATAGTATGATAACAATTGACCAAATCAAACACGGCCGCCTCACCACTCCTATCCTCCAATGTTCGTAAACCTTATGTAAACTGACAATTGGCATAACCGACCTATTTCGAACAATAAAAGTAGCTATAGTAAGGGAAAGTATTAACAGGGAGTACAAAAGTTATCAGTAATAAGTGATTTAAAAGTTAGGAGTGTTTGATCATGAAGAAAAAACTGCAGTAAGCGATCAGTGACGACCTAGAGTCTAAGAGTAAGTGGTAACGGGAACAGTGTTGGCTTGTCGTAAATAACTTTAAGACTGCATTCCCACAGATTTTAGATTAACCTATCCCCGTGGGGAGTCTCACTAGATTACTGTAAGTTTAGCCGGCTTAAATGTCTGTCCCCTCCTACTTAAAGCTGTAAGGGGGTAATTAACTTCCGTATGCGCTCGGCTGACAGCAATTTAGCGTGAACCCCCAGGGAGTTAGGTCGATCCAGATGGATCGATCTAAATCTGTGGGAATGCAGTCTAAGACCCAAAATTTTGTCTACCTCAGCTTACAAAGATTCACTGCAGTGGTAAATAGTGATCTGAAATATTAACAATATTTCACTTTATTGGTCTACTACCAATATATCTTGAAGTCAAAATAGATCAAAATTTCGGTATAAAGGTTAAAATAAACTTTCGGGTTACATTTTATTACTTTTGTGACGCATACTGCTGCTCACCATCGTAATTTAGCCAACTATCGTAAGAAAAGTAACATTAAGCAGTGTTCCCGCCCTTATACCAATGTGACTAAGTCTCCTTTATAGACTTTATACAGTATCGTCAGCTATCAGTCTAAGCTTTCGCCAAACAATTTCGATTTATTTGTGAAATAAAGATCCTATATTTCTGTAGTGACAACTCCGTCCTGAGTGTCTGCCTTCTCCACGTTCTTGCACACACAGAAGTAATGGAACTGCGCCTTAAATAGACAAAAGAGGGAAAACAATGATAATATCCAACTTTGCTATTGAAAAAGTATTTTCACATTGAGTATTTATCTGGTATCCGGTATGTTTTGAGAGATAGGCAACTTAATAGCCTGGTTATCAAATAATAGATTTTTAAACGGAGCCCTACTTGTAGAGTTCGTCACAACTCAACTATTTATAGCCGGAAACGATCTTGTTGAGAAATTGTGAAAGGGTGTAAAGTCATTCAGTGTGAAAAAGCCTTAACTGTAAGAAATACCATATTGAGAAGGAGACAGATGTTACCTTAACGCTAAGAATTTCTCTAAAATATAAATTCTACAATATCCTCTGTCATCGGGTATCACCTTCATTATTTACTAATACTGAATACCAACGTAAATCTACCGTCATGGGTTAATATTTATTTTTTTTTAATTAAAATATTAAAATATTTTTTGATGAAACAATTAAAGGTATGTCAAAAATCGTAGCACAAACGAGACTTTTGCAATATGTTCAGACTAGTAACTGACATGGACATGTAACTCACCGGATCATGCGGAAGCCCGCAGCGAAGACATTCACGACATGCCAGTGGACAGCAGCAACACATCACGTCAAATATGGGAGAGATCAAGTGATGATCCAAGGTCTTTGGATCCGTGAAACCTAAAAACCCCATGGTCTTATTACAATAGCTAAGTAAATTTTACATTTGATATGCTTATATCTTCATTTTATCGTTATGATATTGAAAAGAATGCATTTGTCCTTAAAATTAGATATCACTGTTCTCTTTTGACGTTTTTACATTCAATGTTATGACACATGGGTTCCAAAAAACATTAATTAATTTTTAACCTTCTCTTTAAAATCGAAAGATATTTTGCTCTGCTTTAAGTCGTTGCGGCCTTTATAATCATGTAATTAAAGGGGAATTTCACACTGGCAGTTGTCCTCGGGGTTACTTGATCATTGGTTTTGCCTAACAAGTCAAAAGTCTCTGCTTTCGCGTCAGATTTAATGTACATTTTTAAATATCAATACAGAAATAATTATAATGAAAAATAGATTAAAATAAAAGAACAAGTAAAAAAATTTGAGGCTGCCCTTAATCAAAACAGCCGACAAATTACGTTTCAGATTGCAGCTGGGGGTTCTCCACACAGGTATGGTACTGGCTTTAGGACTGGCTAATAAATTTGTCTGAGGGACATTATTAAACGATACAGGATGTTTTTTAAACATAAAGCTATCGAATTAAACTGTTAAATTGCCCCTTTTATTTTAGTGAAGTACATGTACGTACCTGTAACTGCGCTGACCGTTAACCCGACAACAAGAACCACCAGCACGGCAAATCCTGCGTACCATAAGTAGGATATATCATACCAACCTCCTAGTGGCGGCCTGAAAATAGTATGATTACTTTAAATTCATAGTCTGGAGTCCCAATTTATATACTTGAAATTTCACAGCGTGCGTTTGTTCAAAGAAGATAACCGTATTTGCTAGAGCATCACTTCACAAAACATCAGGGATACTTTCAAGGCTGGATTAAGTCGCTTGGAAAATAATCACGTTTTATCATTTATCAGCCACTTAAATAGAAACGGAATTTCTTTTGGGACTAAACTTACGCGTACTCTAATTGTGTGACTGGTGTAGTGGACAAATTGGCCATTATGTCTGTGAAATTGTCGGTCAAGGTCAAGTTGGTCGCATTGGCGGCAATACAGCCAGCAGTGGACACTGGGGCTGTCCAAAGAATTGGTTTGTAGACTTGGGCGCCAACACCGATCCAGAACGTCAGCAACAGACCAGAGATGAGGCCGGATATGGCGCCCTGACAGAGTAAAGTTGTGTCAAAGTAAAAAAAAAATAAAAAAAAATATTTAAAAAAAATAAAAAAAAAATATATATATATATATATTTATATATATATTAACTACAAATCATGAATCACATATGTATTTTGAATGAAACGCGCTATTACAACTGCTGCAGCAACGAGGTATGGATACTCCTACCGTTTTCCGTTGTTGTGATCGCGTCACTCAGTTATATTAGAAAACAACTATCAAAAATATAAAGATTTTATTGCATCTATTATCCTCATATTGCATAGAAAATCGCTGCAAGTAAATAAAACCCATATATCCAAAGAGCTACGACAGACAGAGAACCGTATAAAAGACCGTTTCTCCTACCTTCCAGTTTGCCCAGGGGAAAAATATTCCAAGAGAGAAGAGTCCGAGTTGAGGCCCTCCAACCATGCCGAACAAAGCAATGAAGGCCTACATGATAGAACAAAGGGAATTTCATATTTCATTGTTTACGTTGTACCACTTCAGTTTACACACAGTTATTACATGACGTTGAAAGTGGTGACGTGACGAACTTTAAAACTCTTCTATCCGTCTATCTTATACCAGTAGTGGTCTTCTTAGATGTATATGGACAGATACAGATACAGAATAAACAGAAAGACATTGGCAATAGGCTATCATGGAAACTTCAAATCTTTAAAAACTGGACGTCTGCAACTGATCTGTCTAGTTGATTATACTTGAGACAGACATTTCTGGCGTTGATAGTACCATAGGATATTTCGACAAAGAATTTTGTTTTAACCGTTCTTGTGGACCAACTGGCCAATACCTGCAAAACGCCTCCAAGAAGTGACGCTATATAGGTCATGCCGATCATGATACAGCCAAAGGTTACCGCTGGTAATAAATGATAATATATCGTAATATATCATATGGAAGTCAATTGAAACTGAAATGACTTGTGAAATGTGTTAATTATGATTTACACCGACCTCATTTCTTGGAACAGATTCCGCCTTTCCGGGCAAAGACATGCTTACTGTGTAGTCTGTCGAACACACTTGTATTTATACATATAAAAGATATGAAAAGCAGAAAACTTACAGAGAACTTTAGATACAATAGTGGCTTTGCTGTCTGGAATCTTTTTACAGCAAAACTGCTCAAATATATCTACCGTGAAAACAGTTGCCAGGCTGTTCAGTCCAGTCGATATTGTACTGAAAAATATTTTAAATATATTTCTATAAATATAGACCTAGCAATGTGATATTAGAATAACTTTTTAAGAAATAAAATCTTAGATGTTCTCTTTATTTACTTCATTGCAACTGCTATTTGTGACAAAACAAAGGGATGCTAAAATGTAACCATGAAATACACTTATTTATTACAGTGCATCGTTAATAAAACTTGCACATCAAACTTATTCGGAGAAATAGGTTTCTCGTCGTTCGTGTAATCATAAGAAATCAAATGTCTCATGGAGAGTCGGAACATCCTGCCTCATAGGTAGAAAACACGTTGATTACTTTGATATCAACACATTGATTGTCGTGGCATTTTACCTGAGCGCCCCACTAAACAGACAGGCCGTGAACAGGCCAGGTAGACCAGGTATTTTGGCAAACTTGTCCATTACAAACAGAGGCAGAAGCTGAAGTAGAAATTGCATGTTTTAACAATATTGCACGTCTTAAAATAACACAAGCTCGGAAAATATCAGTTGTTTTATGTGTGCAATAAGCTCAAATTAATTCATTAGTTACGCATGGTCACCTTGAGTTCCCGGACACTCACAATATTAATTCAGCATACCTAATGGAAAAGCACCTGTACATGTTGGGGAGAGGGAACTACCACTAGCGTTCTGAGCCTTGGTGTGTGCATATCATGTAGCAATCTTGCCAGGAATATTCATTGTATCTCTTGCCTGTGTCATTTGTTTATGTCCCCGTTTTAACTTTTCTGTTTTCAACCTGATTTAGCTAGTTTGCTAATGTCCCCGTTTTGGCTTTTTCTTACCTGATCTAGTTCATTAATGTCCCCGTTGTTCATAGGATCACAATCAAAGTAGTGTGCGAAGATGAGTATCCCAGACATAGCACTAAGAATGATGATGCTGGCTAGACCAGGCGCGTTGACCCAGTATGCACTAGAGAGACAAAGCAGATCATGTTTACTAAATAAAATTAGATAAATACTTATTTGATTTGGCCAATTTTGCTCTATTTTGAAATCAAGTAATATATTTTCAGTAAGACTAGCATACCCCCAATGGGTGTTTTCTTTCTTTTTTTTCCCAATGACCTCTCGCTGACTTTCGTTGACACGTTATTTATATTTATCACGCTATTAATTGACATACAATTTATATTTATCATGTTATTCATGTGTTAAAAAATAATATATTAAATAGATTATCTAAGCAAGCTGACATCTGTGCCCCCCTGAGGTCGGTCACTGTGAGTGCTCTCTGGATCTGAGCTTGGTTACAGGCGTAGACAGTGAGCCAGGTGAAGAACCCGCCGAATATACAGGTCCAAAATGTGTGGCGCTCTCGGGGATCGGGGTCGAAACTAAAAAGGGCAAATTTTCTTGGTGTCATTTCTCTACGAGTTAATTTTTTTTTACAAAACGTTCACGTGACTTGTGAAAAATGATAAAAATAAAATTTGCTTAATTTATCATCGTTTTATTATCATTATAACATATCAAATGTAGCTAAAGATTTTAGTGATCCGAAATATATATCACATTTTCAAACGTTGTTTACCTAAAAGTAAACAGATTACTCCTAACAATAGCATCCCGATATACGCTTATGCTATTTTCACAGGTTCAAATATTTGTCAGCTACTCGTCAGATTTGTCACAGAAAAGAAGAGTAACCCCCACTATAGGATTTATAATATTTTTGGTTGTTGTTTTTTGTTCAATACTACTATGTTCACATGATTTGATTTGAGTTTAATTTGACTGACTTACTCCAGGAAGTTAACTCTGTTCGTCCCGAGGCTGGCTATCCAGGCGTTTTCATATCCTCCCAGGGTAAGAGACCCCTGGATCAGCACTGCCAGCAGACCGGCGAACATAACACCTATTTGGAAGGTGTCGGTCCACATCACGGCTTTGATGCCACCCTGAATAGTGGAGTAATGGTCAATATTTTTCCTCTCTTTCTTTCTCTCTCTCTCTCTCTTTTTCTCTCTCTCTCGCTCGCTATCTCGCTCTGTGTGTGTGTGTGTGTGTGCGTGCGTGCGTGCGTGCGTGCGTGTGTGTATTGGTAGGGAGGGGGTGATGATAGGTTTCAGGGGGGAATGACTGACGATCTTTTCGTTTTACGAATTAAAAAAACGGGTGTTGTCTTAAATTATTAAGCTATTGACTTTACTGCGTCGGTGAACAATGAAACTTAGGCCTACTTACTATGCTTGTGTAGAAAATGCAGACAACTCCCACAGTGGCAACGGCGATCCATTTGTTTAATCCGGTTACTGTATAAAAACAATACAGTAACATATTACTGTATATATATAATATAATTATTAACAGTACTATCCTGTATTATATTCAGATATCAAATTTAAATTAGTTATCAAAGTTCAGTTAACCATGAATTACCTTTATTTGTAAGTTTTTTCTTTAATTATTTCTTGCCAGGTTGCTTATTGCATTTCAATTTTTATATTTTCACGTATTTCTTAGTAAACATCATTACATTTTTATAACAGAGACATCATCATAAAGGTTTTCTAAATTCTGGACTTGAGAAATATCATCCCACCTTGTTCTAATGCTAAGGAAGGCGCATACAACACGATGGGTAAGTACAGGATCTGGAATATTGCATTTCGCCTTTGTTATTATTCTGTTTTTTTTTTTTTTTT